TGCTAATGTTGGCTATGCGGCAATAGCAAAATTTACATGTTTGAGACTGAGTATGTTAAATAAATATTACTCAGTCTTAATTCCTAATTTTCTGTTAATTGTTCAGCACAGATAATTAATAAGATAGATAATAAGATATTGTTTTATTAATCATTACCACTGTAAATGTGACAATTAATAATGACATTGATTTCAGATGGTATTTTAATTATTTAATTAAAAAAGGGTTGGGGGATTAAAGATGATCGTAGCCTATTGGTAATTACTTGGGTAGCTTATTGATAGACATTTTCAGCACTTTAAAATAGAGCTGAAATGATAAGTCAATTGACTAAAAATTATTGGCAGCTACTTTGATAGTCAGTTAATTGTTTAAGTAATTTGTATTTTTTACTTTTTCCTGATATTTCATTGACAAAATGATAAACTGAGAAAATAAATCAGATTAACTGACAATGAAAATAATTGTTAGTTCCCTTATTCGCATTAGCACAACTGGTGGGAAAACTTTAAAAAGTGAATTAGACTTGGATATTTATCTTTTCATTATTTTTACAGCATGACATATAGACAGATGATACTGAAGCTCTAATTAACATGACATAGAGTGATTCATCCAAAGATCTCAGCCTGCCTCTGCTATAAAACCTGAAATACCTGATTTCACCATGCTGCACACTAAACTTTAGTGCTTTGCTGATATTTCAATCAGCAAAGCACCGATAAGCTTCTGCACTCATAATCAAACAAGCCATAACCATGCAGTAATAGTGTGTGCTGCTTTACCTTAAACAAGGCATTTCTCTGCACCACTTTCTGGACAAAAACCATCCACCACATTATGACCCAGGGATCTGACCATAACCCTGAATGTATATAATTATGTGCTCTGTGCTGAACGGGATGTTAACCTCTTTGACGATTAATATTTTTCACCCATCATCTTTGTTGACCACATATCGACTGCCCCTCAACTCCTCTTACTATAGCTCTCTGTAAAACTGTATTTTATGAATGCGCATTTGAAATAGTGCTGTTGTGAAACGGTCTATACAGCAAGGGAATTGTAAATATACTGCGAGTTCATAATTAGAGCATATTTCCTTATTCAACAAAGTTATTATTATGCCACATATGTTTAGATATCATAATCCAAATACAAGGCATTGTTTAAACTGCAACACCCACTGTTAGTGGGTTGCTTCTGAGTGTGGAATTAGATGCAGTCTCCGTGTGAAAATCACCCACATCCTCCACATCTTAAGAGAATTTCTACACAATTCTACACAGATTCAAATTGGATCGCTGGATGGGGTTGAGACTTAAGCCTCTGTTTAAGTAGTCCAAGTCAAGCCTCCAGTCACTCAGTTAAAGTCCAAGTTTGAGGTCCCTATAGTAGTTTAGGCATCAGCCTAATCAATGACACCTGTTGATATTGGCTTATCACAGATTTATTATTAGCATACACGGTATATTTGCCAATAAAAACCAAGAAATTGCAGTATTGAAATGCCATTGCAGTACATAGTTTGTCCACCAGAGAGCTCTGACAAGTTCAGTTTTAAGCTGTAAAATTTTTCACTCTGTATATGTCTAGGTCACAATTCATTAAAAAACAAATATCCCCCAATAATCCTATTTGACTTTTCCAATCCTAAATATTCTTATCAGTATCAGCTGGGATTCAAATTTAATAATATGGCTACTTCTGAAAATTCACTATGATTTATTTCCCATTTCTCAAGATGCGAATAATTGTGATGACTCTAATAAAAACTGCTCTAATAAAAGTAAGGGAAAACCACATCTTGCAAGACAGATGTGGAAACTTCATCACGATATAATTATTCGATCAAGTCTGAGAAATGGTTTACAGCTGAGGGCAACAATATTAGCTATAGTTGTATTTTATGGTAAAGACACGTGAACACTAGACACAATATTCACCTGTTTATGCTCCTAATCCTCATATAATAATGGCCATATATAACAACAATAAAAAACCTGATTATCTGGCTTTGCTAAAAAGTAGATTTTATCTTTCATTTCGTTTCTATCCATTAATTAAGGCTAATTGAAAATTATCATGGGAAGTTGGTCAACGATAGCATCATATCTTTCAATCGTTAATTCAGGCAAACCAACTTTTTAACCGCCTTCCTACTTATCAAATGCTATATGTAGAGAGTGTTTTTCGTTTCTATGCAAAAGCTTAGCAAAACAAACAAACATACGCGGAAACGCCAGACAAACATGCAGCCAACTGAAGTTACAATTAGCCTTTCAGCTAGCTAAAGAACTCTTACCTGTGGGCGTGTCTTTACTCTTCAGGAGCTTCAACCTGACAGGAACTTGGTTTCTGTACCCGGCATATTCCCCATTAATGACGACGGCACTACCAGATGAGCAGTTTTTGTGTTTGGTCCAAAGTTTTTGTTGTAAAGTCACTGAGTCCACGGCTATCTTCATAGTGCAAGTCCTGGTTGGATCCATCAGTCACACACCTGCTAAGTTCAGAGCAGGTTCTGATCTGCACTTCTGGACATGAGCCACCAACAGTCAAGGGAAGGAATTGCAGTGCAAGTTTCACAGCTGCTGATGTGCATATACTGTTGCATCTTAAACTCTTGTATCAGTAAACTTTATTTAAATGTTTATGTTTTATTCAGCTTTTATTGTAGATAAATCTTGTCTGATCTTGTAAATTTGTCACAGAAATGTCAGAGAAATTCACTGATTCCTACAACAACAAAAAAAACGGATGTAAACTCAGCTACCCTCCTCCTCTAGAGAGAAGATGGCTCCTCTTTTCTAACCATTAGTGACCCACATGGGTCGACACATATCGTGCACCACCACGTGTGTCCACCTGCACACTTGACTAAGTTTTTCACAAATCACCATAAATCAACATAAAACAGGTGGATAGATGGACCAAATAACATGTAGGTGTTGGGTGCTGGAACAAATAATGAGAAAAAAAAACAACCAGAGCCTGGAGACAAGACAATTTATGTTCCAACATTCAGCTTTGGCCAGGAGCTTGCAGGGACTGTACGATAAGAACATGGACACAAGCAGCTGAAATGTGTTCAGCTTGCAGGCTAAGCACAACTGTAATATCTTATATTACCTTTAAGATAGCATTTATGAGGTCTATATGCATTGCAACATTGACTCCTGTACCGGACATGATAGAGATGTATATAGACAGACAATAAATAAAATGGATGGAGTTCTCAGGTTACAAGACTCCAACAAGCACACTATCACCATAGCCTGGCCATCTGCTCATTGCAGGCATTTTACTATAATGACTGTTCAGCCTCCTGAGTTGCGACCTCTGAGATGGTGAGGAGAGGAGAGCAATCAAAGCACATTCAGTTCTGCCATAGTCATTTGCCTGCTCTCAAAAAGCTATCACAGGGTGCAGCTGTAAACATTTTGCTCCTCAGCACTCCTGAGACATGCAGTCAGAGAGGATAGCAGCTATCAGTCTCTTTCACAGAGGAAACCCGGGTGAATACACTTTGCAAGCTGAATACAGCGGAGAGGGCAAAATACATAGAATAGTCCAGGGAGCTGAAGTAGGTCAAAATAAACTCATTATTCAAAAGGAAGAGTGTACTGAAAGCTATGCTCAAGACTCCCTTAGTCTCTGTTGTTGATGTGCAACACTCATGCAATTTAGGTTTGTGAGCAAGCCAACAGCTGTTTATGTTCCCTTTTAAAAGGCACGCAAACATCCAAATAGAGCAATCCAATTTAGTCTTTTTGTAATGAATGAGCTTTTGGAATAAGCTTTCTATTATAGTGACAACTGTAAACTGAGCCCTTTATTAACACTGTTGCTTGTCTGTATATCAGCTTGAAACATAAGGTATATTTGTAATAAATTTATTGCAATAATAGCAAAACATACAGAACCACCTACTCCCTGCCCTGTGCAAAAGCTATGGTATATTATATCATTAGATAACATCGCCCCCTTGTGGACATGAGTTTGGCTTGTTTTGTGCAGGAAACGCTCAGTCAGGAAAGCATATCCAAAGAGATATTGTAAGTTTAGGTCTGATTGTTTATTTCAGAAGTTTTGAGATAAATATAAAACATTAAGTCTTAATTAATCACTATTTAAAAAGAAAGAGATCGTCTCTCCTTACATGACTATTTTTGTACACTGACATGAAATGTGAGACGTCACCAACAAACACAGTCACACACACAAAGACACATACACCAGGGAGAAAGACTGGTCTAAAAGTAAAAAGATAAATTTTGTAGTTATTCCGTAGACTGATCATAAAGCATGTGGTTAGTTTGAATGTTGTGGTCTTTAATGAATCCAAAGGGGCTGACCAATGAGGTCAACCAGCCAGCAGTTTTATTTAGGGCTGTAGGGCCTCTGATGCTCCCCAGCAGCTGTTGTGTGAGTGTGTGTGAGCGCATGTGCGTGCATGTCTGAACTTTCCCATTCTTCTGATCGTTCAACTTTGTCTGGTAAGCCAACAACTCTATTTATTGCTTGGAACAGAGTGACTACCTCCTGCTCTTAAACAAAAGTACAGCAGGTGATTCTTGTGCTGAGGAATTAGACTAGATTTAGAGGTAAAAATCTATAAATAACAAAAGGCTATGAATGATAATGCAGATTTCCTGTATGAAGTAGGCCTACAGAAATATGTGTGGGTGTATACTCAAAAAGGATCCACAATGTAAAGAAGTAGCTTACAGTACACTAGTATATACAATATACTGTATAGTTCAATAGGCAAAGATTAAATAAGAATGTAGTAAGATTTTTTGCATTTTCATAGACTTCCACTGCCTCTTGTTTGGTGTTGATAATAATATGTAATTATTTTGACTTAATGGAACAATATACTACGTATGATAAAGGAAGTATATGTCTCAAAATGTAAAGCTTTACATTATTTCAGTTCTGGTTTGTTAGTCATAGGGATAAAATTTGTGAATCTCCTCAGGAAATCCCAGTCGCAATGACTCTCCAGTGGACGGCTGTGGCTCTCTTCCTCTATGGAGAGATAGCAGTCAACCTCATCTTGTGTATACCCTTCATATCAGCACAGAGGTAATGCGATTTAATATACAAACCCAAAGCACAATCTAAAGTCCATCCAGCAACTCATGGTCAGCATCTTGCACAGCAGCCTGTTCTTTGAATTAATGTGCAAGAGTTTAGTTGTCAAGAGGAAAAGTGAAAGAGGCAGTTCACACAAATCACCAGCAGAGTGCATCCACACCCCTTCTAGGTAGACACAGTGTTTGTTATGACAGCTACACTCACAGTGTCCTTCTGACCTACTTTGTAGATGGCGTTTGGTTTTCAGCTGGAGAATATGGAACTGGTTATCACCATATCAGAACAAGGGCTTCTTTACAATGATCATGGTCCTCATTGTTCTCTTCCTTGGTAAGCCATCTACTGTGTCAGACACTGAGTAATACTAAGAAGGCTGTCATGTTGTGTGTCCAGCCCCGGCAACAACAGTCACGCTTCTGTCCTCCTCCTCACTCTCAGATGCTCTCCGTGAAGTGCAGAAGTACTCGGGTCCTGAGCCCATGCAAGACGCCAAGGTGAACCCCAATGTATACGACCACGTCCACATGAAGCTGTTCAGAGCCCAGAGGAACCTCTACATATCTGGCTTCTCTCTCTTCCTCTGGCTGTTAGTGTTATTTCTTTCCACATTCATTCAGAATGGCAGAAACAAATGTGTTTGGGACCTCACTCGAGAACAAACATTACTATACCACTGCCCTCTTGCTTATTCACCTTTTACAGTTCACTTCCTGAGGTCCTGTCCTGTTTTGTTTTGTCCTGCCTTTATTTCCTCCGGTTCTTGTCTTTTCCTGTCCTGTGAACTCATCACAGTATCATGCGTCGGGTTGTCACCTTGCTAAACCAGGTTGCTGTCACGCTGGAGGACAGTGCAGGCCTTCGGACGCAGATGGGCAGTGCTGTCAAAGCAGCCAAGCAGCACCAGGAGGACAACCTGAAGCTCAAACGAGTGAGAAACAGTTAATTAGAGCCTGATTACAAAACTAAACCTTTGTCTTATAAAGCCTGTTTATTCCCTTTTCTCCCCCAATAGGCACCATCTTCTTTAATATCATATATTCTCCCAGTATAACATTATGTTGCATTTTAAAGTGTTTTCAGACAGTATTGTTTCTATTTTGTATGAACTCTCTTGTCAGCTGTTAAAATAAACCATTTAAGCTTGGTAATTAGAGGTAATCCTTTGCGCTCAGGCTCTCCTAGATGATGAAAAATCTATGTCAGCAAAAAACGAACAACTGAAGCTGGAGGCTGAGAAGCTGGCAGGTCAACTGAAGGCTGCAGAGGAGGGTGAGTCATCATCACTGCCTTCAGACAGGATGCTCTGCAGTTTTACATTTCAAAAGCAAAGAGCTGTGTGTACAAAGATTATTCCTAAGGAGCATGGACCACAGTAGATCGTTTCTTGCATACAGCTGTTGCATTATGAAAGAAGTTCATTTTAAAGGGGCATTAATGATATAGAGCAGTTTAAAGATGCAGGACTGTTTGTCTGTGCAGCTGTGCGCAAGTCTCACACTGAAGTGGAAGCCATGAAAAGGCAGGCGAAAGGTCTGGCACAAGAGTATGACAGACTATTGAGGGAACACCATCAGCTCCAGGTAACACAAACACACAAAAACATACTGTATATGTGCATGCAAATACACAAACACAACATACATAGTGTATACTGAGTGTACTAATACTGGGGTGATTCATTTTTTAATCCTTTAATTGATCCACAGAATCTCCAGAGTGATCAAGACAAAAAGGATCAATAACCACAGGAATACACTGACAGGTGTTTTCAGGTGTTGCTTCTCCTCTCTGACTGTGGATGCCTTTTCTTCTCATTACACTGGAACTGAGTGCTATGTGCAATAGACCGCCAGAGGTCATATTTGTATTATCTTTTACAACTTTAATTTTCCTTTAAGTCTGAACCGAGGCGTATGTTTGAATTGATAGGATTAAACAAACAATGCTACAGTTCATAGGATGAACACTAGTTGTTTTTAAATTGTGAAAAATAAAAAAATCTTTATTTTACCTCGAGCTCATTCTTATTGTGGAGGCAAATATTTAGTAATGATTCATTTCTGACAGGTACATCAGACCACCACAATAGTATCCTCCTGTCAGCACATAATGACCAATGCAGTATGGAAATAACTTATTGACAGTTTTTATGGTGATCATGAACGCTAACTGAATGTCTGTCACAGGAGTCTCACATTTTTTTGGATTTATTATAAACCTTTAATTTAGAAAAAAAGGTGTTTCATTGTTTTATGAGTTATGCACTAGACTTGATTATCAACATCTTTTTGAAAAATGTTAAAAATCTTGAAAGTATGATGATATATGGTATGTTCCTTACGTTCATGCTGAGATAAATCATGGAGTCACTCCACACATCTTGACACCACACTGACACGATATAAGCTTCATATTGACAAGGCAGACTGCTGCCTACATATACAATCAGGTACTGTTATGGTGTGCTGTCGTCAGCACAGGCAGGATGGACCAAAATGCAGTCTCACATAAAGGCACATGCAACGGAGTAGCTGTAATGGTGAAAACAAAGGCAGGCAGGCAGGACCACAGCACGAACAGGAGCACGAACAGGACCATAAGCACAAACATGATCGGATGATCCGACAGAGAACAAACAGTGTGAACTGGAACATACAGGGTTGATTAGTTAACGAGGTGCAGGTGGGGAGTGCTCAGGTGACTGCAGGGCTGAAGATAAGTGGGAACATGTGTGTAGATGTGCAGAGACGTCAGGTGACCTCTGGTGGCCGATGGAAGAATGGCAGGAGACGGGGGCAGAATGGCCAAAATGAACAGGACTGGGGCAGGAGTCGTGACATGTACAGTAGATGTGGTAGGGTTTGTAAACCAACGGGTGCAGAACTCTCAGCTTAAGGTCTACTTACGCACTTGTTCTGGAGCTGTTGACCATATCGCACAGTCCTCGCCAGCAGTCTGAGGTTGGAACTGTAGATGTTCAAACTTTCCATGATTGATGATTCTGAGCACCTCTAGGGCTTCACACTGAGAGAAGTTTGACTGGAACCACAAAGTGATGAAATAGTGGTCCTACTGCTGGAATGATTTCTGTTACGTCTGGGCAGGAAGTGATAGTTTCCCCTTTGTATGCCAACGGGATAATCTTTCAGTGGGCAGCTGTTCCTTTGTTGCCTCTAGCTTTGATCTGGTTATTGACCTCATTCGTTTGTAGGCTGAAACACTTACTCTGCCTCAGTGTAGCTATATTCACAGTTCTTCCAGCAAGTGTGCCACAGAAACAGTCTACAGACTGTTTAATGTACGTTTCTCTTCTGAAATGAAATCAAAGCCATGAAAACAAGACTGAGATGAAGCAGTTCAACCATCTTATTCACACAGATTTTTATCAAGTTTAATCATAAAAACAAAGACCAACATAGAAAATACAGCACAATTACATTTTTTTTCTATGAAAGTCTTCATGAAAAATACAAACACACAAATTTATACATTCCTGAAATAGCATGTTTTGTTTATAAAAATGACTCTTTTGTTGAGATTGTAGGTCTGCACAAAACCTGTACAAATATATACTCTGTGTGCTATGAAAAGTGTCCACAGTGTGTTCCTCTATACATCTGAGTCAGAAGAGAAGAGGTTGTGCTGAAGCTCACAAGCCAGTTTCTCTGTCAGGACTGCGGTCTAAGGCCAGTATGAACTGCTCACAGTGTATAGAGTTATTCTCCTCTTTCCTTAGTGACTCCAGCTCTGCACTCCCGTTAGTCAGAGCGTTTTTCTCCTCCCTCTTAATATGTCGTTTGAGTAGAGCAAAACCCAAAATACATAAGAAGAAGGAGACTGTCCTCAAGCCCAGTGTCAGGCCCAGGTACACTATCCTGCAAAACAACATGATGTGGTACTGTTAGGGTACAAGTTGGGGAATTTATTTGATTGATTTATATGATTATCAGGGTATATCAGGGTGAAGCTACAAATCACAGAGGGCAAGTCACAAGTCAAGTCAAATAAGTCCAAGCTGTTTAACTAGTGTTTTCCTTCAGTGCAGAGCCTCACAGTGCACCTAGTGTGGTTACAGACGTTTTATTCTGTGAACTCAAGAGCTGAAAAGACTAGTGGATACTGTATACAGTCATAGTTACCTGTAAGCTGAGGTGTTGTATATTCTGCACGCTCCTCTTCCTCCACACATCTTGTATCCCCATTTGAGGCAGGTTGTGTCGATTATGGCTCCAAAGTATATAGGGGCAGGTATTCCAGCTGTTGTACAATTTAAAATAACTTGTTACTTGTTAAACAAATAAACAGCAAATACAAGGTTACATTTTCATAAATATTCAATGAGTCCTTAAGGGATTTCTGTGTGTCTGTCATTCAAACTAAGTGGACAATAATACCAAAGACAGTTCTAACCGAGTGTGCGAGTGGCCAACGTGTGGATTCCAAGTGCGAGGGATTTCAGCTCAGGTTTAATGCACCTATAGAGACAAGACTGAGGCGTTAAAGAGGACTCAACTTTTCAACCTCACAACACTTAAAGAAGGACAATTATTTACATTTTGATTTACTGGAAGACTCAAAACGCTACGAATGAGCATTATATTGATAAAATGCTTTAAGGTACTAAAGAAGAAGAAATTCTTCTGAAAGCTTTACTCATTCACTCAACATCTCCATCAATGACACTGAATCATACAGAAGTGATCTTTTTTTTTTTTTTTTTTTTTTTATAATGGCAGGAAGTATAATCTGTCCAAGAATGACATGAAAATATGTCAAGTGATTCCTTTTTCACACAAGCCCACAAGGGGGATGTCGACAGACCTGACGAGCAGCACAAAGCCAGGTGTTCCCCCAAGAGAAATAATGAATGAGCTGAGGACAGACAGAGCCAGGAAGTATGGAAAGATTTTGTCACAGCTCTCTCTGCGTGGACACTGGCCTAGAGTGACTGTCAGGTTGCCTGGTTGGGTGTCAGCCAGCGCCAAACACCTACAGTTTTCAAATACCTAACAAAGAAGAAATGAGAAGTAATGTATATTATGAATGTGATATCAGTGATAGATGTACTACTCTTTGGGCATCGGTATATATCAATATATATATATGAATAAAGCAGCAGTTCAACCTTCATACTGTGTTTGTCAGCCAGCACTAAGACATATAAATGTGTAATGACGAAGACAACGGTGTGTGTCTGACCGTGTTCCTCCCAGAGCCAGAGGAGGAGGTGCATCCAGCCAAGCATGGGGACACGTAGGTGATCCCATTCTCTCCGCACACTGGATCCCACTCTCTTCCTGAGCACAAGCAACCCGAGTTACAGTTGGAGAAGAGAGAGCGTTCCTGGTAAGACAATCCTTCCACTCTGCATGTGACAACATGAAGAAAATGCATATATTATTGACAGCTCATATGAAAAATAGATCAAATAAAAAAAACAAAAAAAACATGGCTATTACCGTGCATGCAATATGAAAACAGACACAGAAAGGCAACACAACACAAAAGGAACCCTAGGAAGTGTGTTAGCTGTAATGATAATTGATAATTGTAGAATTGACATAAGTATATACAAACATCATATACCCGGTATATAAAACAGTGATGCCTGCCACCTTGGAGTTCTCACAGCCCATGGCTAAGAAAAAGAGCGACAGGAAGTAGCCCAGCAGGGAGGTCCCAAAGGCAAATTTAGCTGCTCCCATGATGCCCAGCTTGTACTTCTTCATGACAACCCCTCCAGAGAACATCCCAAGGGCCACAGCTGGGATGTTGATCATGCCTAGCAAGAATACAATGCATTTTTAAATGAATAGAGGCTCCAGGAGGAAGCAACTTGTACAAGCAACATCAGGCACCATTAATGCTCCCCAAAAAGGATCAAAGTCAGAACACTCATTCATATCAAAGTAGTTTTAATTCATATTTCATGTAAAGTGAACTGAAGCCGTGTCTCAAAAGATGAAAATGACTTTTGATGGTTGAGAGGATATGGAATGCATTTCTCATCATCTATCACCCTATTCACTCATTCACTTCGGTGGATAAAAGAGCCATGTTATTACAATGTCTTCATTTCCATTATGTCGACCGGTTTGTCGACCTGGTTTCATTAATGTCTGCTTTTTAAATCAATGTCTGAATGTCATTTCAGAATGTCCAACAATTGCAGTAAACCTGGTTGTCATCTTGAAGCTGCAGCGTTTACTGAAGAGGGATGTGGGAGTTGGAGCATAAAAAATTCATCACAAGCTAGCTCATGAAACAGTTATGATGACCGTCCAGCTCACATCACTTTGCATAGCTAAATACTTTTCTTTCAGCAAAGAAACACAGGTTTTGAACAAGCTTACAACTAAGTTAAAAAATCACGAAACAAGGTAAACATTATGAATTATCAAAATAGTCTGCTTACCCATGAGAAAATTGGCTTTTGATGCTGACTGGCCATAGTGTTGCTCAATGTATTTGGGTTTGTAGGTGACCATCCCGATGAGAGAGTTGAACTGTATGATGGTCACACATAAGTAGATGATGTACACAGGATTTCCCAGGAGACTCTTCAATGTGGGCACAAATTCTGTGTGGGGAAGCTTAAATGAATGAGATGTTGAAATGGAAAAGAGAGCAACAAAGGGCCATGCAGTAGTAATAATTCATGGAGCACAATTGCATTTATAACCAGCAGGTGATGTTTAGAACTAGACCCACAAATGTGTTTAATATGTTAGAACCTACACTCAGTATAATGGACTTCCTGCAGACAAAGTGTTCTTGGAACTGAAAAAATTGAAATTCATGAAAGGAAATGAAGTTCTTAAAAAAATCCGCTTGTGGCTGTGGTAAAAATGTGAGAATACTGTAGATCTTTTGAGAAATTAATCACAAAAGAGAGTCAGTTGAGAAATGTTGCAATAGCAATAAAAGGCAAATTTATTACATCTCACAAAGAGTCCACTAACTTAATACAAATTACGATGCAAGTACTCAATATTCATTGCAGGCATTAACGTTTTTCGTACCCTTGGCCATCTGATGTAAATTTGCTGGCTCCTCAGGTCTGAACTTGTGCTCCATGTTTGGGGAGTCTTTGATGAACCTGGTTTGCTCTGGAGTGCAGCTGGTATCGTGTTTATCCACAGGCATCGGCAGTGATTTGGGCAGGAACCAGAAAGGAACAGCAGACATGAGAGTGATGACACCAGCGATGAGGTAGCCCAGCCACCATGCCCCCACCCAGCGGGCATCACCGGGGGTGATAGTCAGAGTCTCTGCAAAGAGATGAAAACCTTCTCAGCACAGTATGTGCATTCATGTTGTTTTATCAGCTTCTCAGAGTTATTTCCTATAGATGCATTTTCTTTACAGATGTATTCATTTCATTCAGGCAAACCAAGGCAATTTGTAGTACAGTTATATAAAGTACAGTTTACATACAGAGTCAGTTTCAAAGTGCTTTACATACACTTCAACCTTAGGGCTATGGTACATGTTCAAAGGAAACATTTTATAACAGGGAGATGCCTCCTGACTTGTATTGTTCAACAGACAGGTTTACAACAGCTTCAAATTGTTTGCTTTCCAGTCAGATTATACTGTGTCACAGGATTTACCCTGTCCTGATTCAATGCCTCTTGGCAGGTGTGTCTTGCACAGCTTCAACATTGTCATGTGCAACAACCATTTTCTAAATCCAGCTATCCACAGTGGAGTGTTGGTGCATTGTGCTATTGTGAAAAGATGATAATCCACAAATAAAATCCTATCAAGCTCAATATAGTTATTCTGTCAGTCACGGTTTATGAATGAGTCATAGTTTATCAGATGACAGTTGCCTGAGCTTACTCACCCATGTCCACATAGCCAATGTCAACATAGATTTTGGCACAAAGGGACCCCAGCAGGTAGCCAAAGACAGGACCAATGATTGATATTGTTTGGACACAACCTGTAATACACAACAAAAAAAGGGATATTTATTTAGCCACAATCAACACCTACTAATACCTATTGTGTTTGTGCACTATTCTGCAACAATTTATTTTTCAATATTAATTTGCTACTGTAACACATCACATTATGTGGTACAGTCAAATAAGAAAATATTAAAGCATCTTCTTTTAACAAAAGCAGGAATGTACTGAACATGTAGAACATGTAGGAGGTGAGTTTCACTTAGACCAAATGAACCCCCTAGTACATCAACTATCCTGCCAATGCAATACTGCATTCAGATACTGTGACTCTGGCTGAAACACAGTCCATTTTGCATAAGTTATTCATACTGCCACCATTGCATTGTATTTTATATTTTCAAATTTTTACCCTTTTTTGGTGTGCACCTGGGACATAAACAATTTGAAGATTTTAACTGTACACTTGAGTATGGTGGGACAATAATAAAACTGAAATTAATTGACTGTTAATCTGCTTGAAGGGTGAAGCATCATGATGTTATTTATTGTGTCGAGTCAAAATAAACATAGGTGAACGTGACACTGGTGATCAGTTTTATACATGTGATGTACAATAAATTACAATATATATAAAGCACAATATATATTTAATATATTCTAGGCACAACAGACATTACCTTGGCAATACGTTCTAGTAATGAGATTATGTAAATAAAATAATTATTTCCTGGTTGCCTAGATGTAAAGCATTTTCATTCCGATATGTAACTGTAAAGAAAATCCACTTCCGAAATGAATTGCTTTGAAAATTAAGTGACATTAATTTTGGTACCTACAGTCCAAATCAAACATACACAGTGAATGGGGTGTATTACCAATATAAAGGGCAGCATTCTCGGACTGTGCATAATCATCAATGTAGGAGATTCCTAACGGCTGTACTGGAGTCTCTCCAATCCCACGCAGGACATTTCCCAGAAACACATAGATCCACATCGAAACACTGGACTCTCGCTCACAGCCTGGAGTTCAAAATGACATAGGAAAAATGAGCTGAGGGTTTATAATTTAAAGTCTCAGAAACTGACAAAACTTCCTTGTTCCAAACATGTCATGATGAATCCAGACAAATCTCTTGACTAGCACAGTAAGGATTCTACTACCTATCTTACCTCTAGAGGGCAGTATGGAGGGTCTGTCACCTGCCCCGATGGACTCAGGTGAACTTGCTGGACATGGAGAGAGGTTATTGGTTGAATTCACTGAAGATCTAACTGATGTTTCGATCTTATAGCTGCGTACAAAATACCAATGTGACTGTTAAACAAGGGAAGGGAGAAAGCATCAGGTATCGTTAGATACTCACAATGTGAAGCACAAATACATACATCAGAGAGCACATTTTCAAAGTCCAAGAAATACTGTCACTACATTGTGTTCACAGTGCTTGAAGCCTTAAATCAAACACACATAGATAGAATTTCTGAACTGCAATGCATGCATACAGACACTCTGCCTACCGGCCAATGATGAAATGCGGCATGGCGATCAAGAAGGTCCCAAAAGACATCAAGATACATCCGATTGCTATGATCTTGGGTCGGTGGAGTTTGGCACCAAAATAGCTCACAAAGGCAATCACCAACAAATTCCCTACCGGTTTGAGATGATCAGAAGAGGAGATGGAGACGAGTCAAAGGCATTAAATATGAGACTTTGGAGTGCTGAACAGTCCACAGCTTTTTCATGACATGTATTTGCCCTCCACCATGACACTTGTCTAATTATCTGTCTTTCAATGCAAAAACCTTGAGGGATGCTGTGTGTATTTGCTCCGTTTGGTCATTTTGAAAAATGACATTGACTGAACTAAGGGGGCTTCGATAATTTCTGTTCACTGTATGTGTCTGCATGTCATACACACTATCTTGGTCACTGCAAACTGGTTGTTCACAAGATATAAGGGACAGATGTGCCTCAGCTCAACCAGAGAACTATACAGGTTTTGATCAAAGTCAGTGTGGATAATCATATTTGTCAGCAAACATGCAATATAACACATTCTTCATTCATTGATCACTGTGCAACTACACAAATCATTGCAAAATATTCTCTATTCAAGCCTACATACTGTAGCTTCAAAGGATTTTTTGATCATTAAGAGTTGATTAGGTATGCGACCAGTGACTATTCAAAGCTCAAAAGGGATGTATATACACTATGGTGTCAAACCGGCTGAGGACATATTCTTAGCTTACTTGCATTAGCATCTAAATGCTTCAAAACATGTGCATGAATAGCCAGAGTAAATAGAGAGACATGCAGACAAAAATGGAGAAACTCACCTACTTCAAAGCTCCCGTCTATAATGCCGATCAGATAACTGGATATGTCAAATCGCCTTTCTAGTTGTGTAATTGTGCTCTTCATGTAGCTGCCAGATAAAGCCTTGGCAAAGTAGGCAAAGGACAAGGCTGCAAGGAACATCTGCAGAGATAGAGAAAGACGCCAGAGCACTGTGTCAAACAAAACGGTCCTGAAGTGATTCTTCTCTTCATTGTAATTTCAAAATAATATATTAACCTCTATTATTATCATTATTATATAATTTTTGGAAAGGTTAAGTAGTAGATCAAACTCACAATTTTTCCTTAACTTTTATAAGTCAGAGTCAACAGTAAGCTGAACCCCACAGTGGAAAGGAAATATGAAAAGTGATTTAATACGTTTCTAAAGGTTGGACTAAAATGCAAGAAAACATTTTTAGCAAATAAAACAAAACAATGAAGTGCACCAAAAGTGCACTAATTTAGCTGGGCACCAGCTTGTAATTTAGTAAATGTGTGTATGTATGACTAATTTTCAGTGCAGATACATCTTCGTGGAAAAAAAAAAAAAAAAAGCGGCAATGTGCTGTTAAAGCTTGGGCCAGAGGGTGTATTGAGCTCCCTCCTCCTTTTGCTCAGCCACCTGTGGACACTGACAGTCACTAACAAAGGGAGGATTAGTGAAGCCAATCTCTCCAGGACATAGACACATCCAATGTACTGTAGAGCTGACAGACCAACCGACACACAGCATAATTGGAAACAGGTGAGAGGTAACCATAATCTGCACTCTTAGGAATGAAAATAGCCCGTGCTCAGAAGACATGCACGCGCCACCGACCAACACACATGCATACTCTTTTTCAGTCAACAGCATTTATTCTGTCATTTGAAAGAAACTATGAATTCACATACACCTGGTTTATGACAATGACATTATTATTAATAAAAATATATTTTAAAGATATATCACTGCTACCACTCTGAAATTGCAAAATTGTTAAGAATTGGGATTTTATCTTTTTTTATTTAATCTGTTTACAGTATATGGCACCTTACATTGGCTGTGCAATGTGCCCAATAAACAGTGAATACAATTTCTGTTGTGGTCCAGAGGGCCAGATATCATATTCATTTGTCAGGCCAATAGTCAAAAACACACAGATATTCAACTTCATATCATAGAGTACTAAGACACTCGTAAATTTTCACCTTTGAGAAACTGGAGCCAGTGAGTTTTAGACATTTTTTGTTTGTTTATTAAAACTGCCAACTCCTCAGGTCAGGACTCAGTGGTCCACCTACATCTAAGGGACAAGGGACTGGAGGACAGCAATTTGACCAGAGAAGACTGATGGTTTGAAAGAGGAGTTAAACTGGAATAACCATAACAAAACATCGGAGGTGGTCTACGACAACACTTAATCAGCCACTTACAATGCAGTCTTGAGATCCCTCCCCAGGCAGCTCATGACTCATGTCACCCCAACGACTCACATGAAGCTCTTCAAAAGTATAAATTAAGTTACTTTACAATATTGCTGATGTGTAGTCTAGTCTTATTAAAGTATTTTTTACATCATTACTGTAATCTAACCTGGTAGTGAAATATCAATTAGACATCCAACCCTCTCTGGTGAGGGACTCTATAATATGCAAAAATCTGCTGGAGTAACAGAGATACATAACAGTAGATAGTTTGGTATCATCCACGTAATATTGAAAATTGATGTTATCTTTCCAGATTGTGGCTCCAAGTGTAAGCACGAATGACATAGTATGTGGTGAGTTATTAGGCCTTTTGGCATATCACACATAATATCTGCTCTAATACTGGTAGCCCAAAGAAACAGAGAGATCCCTGATCAGAAGGTCCTGAGAAACATGAGTAATAACCTGACAACTTGAACCAGGCTCATTATTCCTGGCTCAAAAATCTGCTTTTGGAAATGCAAGTGACGCCAAAACTTACAGTAGTGCTGCGACACACACCTTGGATTTTACACCTCGACGTTGCCCTCACTTTAAGATATGTGAACTGTAACCCCATTTGTCACTGACCTTTCAAAACTCGTCCAATCAGAATACTGCTGAGCAAGAAGCTTAAAAACAGAGAGGCCTCTGAGTTTCCTGTGTGTGGTATGACCTTTTCTCAGTATCAATTTAATATTTATCATTTATAGATTATGTAAATGATGATGTACCAGTGTAGAGCCAAGCTCTCTGCATTATGTGCCCAACCCAAAGGCAAGGACAGCTTACACTTCTTGTCATGTGTCTACTGCCTAGGAGACCAGGTGAGATATTTCGTCAGAAGATTTCCACACTAGATAAACAGTTATCTTCATGTTTTCGCTCTGTCTCACTTCCTCTGCAGCTGTAGTCTGCATTAACATGAAGACTGCTGAGTGAAAGATGAACAAAGATAAAGGCCAGAGTGGAGACAGACTTTACTACAAGCTCTGTCAATGATGGCAAATAAATGAAAAATTTGGGAGGAGCTAAGAGGGACCAGTGGAGCTATGGCAACCATCAGGGTGGTCCAGGCTTTGCTCTAATGTCAAGTGCATACTTAGCATTCACACCACATAATACAACTGGATATAATGCCTCTGCACAATGGTTCTCATATGACTGCATTAATAATGTTGATTTTGCATCAGTATTTTGCCATAATTTAAAGGAAACTTCACTACTCTTTGAAACATTGAAGTGTGAGGAATATTAGGAACTAACATACTAAATTTTGATCACAATCGATAAAGTCACTTGAATGCAGCAGCTGGAGTGGCCATCACCTTGGAAATTTCACTGATTTGAAAGATAATATTTTACTTCTTACATTCTGAAACATAAGGTTCTGCAACATTTCTTATTGTAAAATATATAATACTGATTTTCACCGTGGTAAAAACTTGTCCTGAGTCTTGTTATTTAAGTGTAATTCTTTCTGATTTTTCAGACCAGTGCTAGAGCTATTAAACACCTTTACACCCAGCATGTAGAATAACCCAAAGCTGGGCTAAACAAACATACAGCAGCAGCAGACAAAAACCCTTTCTCTAGATAAACAAGTGAATGTTGTATCAAAAGCATCACACCCTGAGAGGTTCACAGCAGGATTACTGCACAGAGGGAAACACACATGGACAGAAAGGCAGCATGACTGGAATTCCTAATTATTGTTGGTTGAAGCTGAAGCATTTCACTAAGCAGCTTTTTAATTAATGTTCAATGTGCTTCTTAATCCAGTAAAGTGGTACAGACCCTCCGTCCTAACCTCTTTTACTGAAGCACAAACTTTGTCAAAGGAATTTTTCACAGCGACTTAATACCCAGTCCAAAGGGCACAGAGAGCTGCTGTACTCAACACCTTGCATGGAGATGAACTAGGCCTACCAGAAACATGCAGCACACTCCGCTCAAACTTTCTGTGGGTGTTCAAGCATTTATGAATTTACATCAATATACACAGAAGATGCCTTAGGTGTTTTTATTCAGCTAGTTGTCCATAGAAAATTTGCTTTTTAAATGACCAGGCTGAAAAAATTATGGTACAGCAGAGGTGCTTACAGTCATATGTGGCTTTTACATATTCTCTACATATTGTACAGGAAACACACACCCTGAGGGTGCACTCCCCAACACGTGCACTCTGTGTCTCAGTTTGTTATGCACATGTGATTCTAGTCATATTTGTGTGTCCCCTCTAGGCCAGTCCAATGACTGTGAAATGACAGACATGTGGGCTCTCTGTTGTTTCAGGCTCAAACACTTCATATATGGTCTTAAGATCATCTCTGGTATATGCTGTCCCCATTGGCCTGTGTATCTGTATTTCTGTAGTTTTTCCCCTCTCTGCCATTTCAAAACTAGATTTTGAATCATTACCAAGTTTGATATACACAAAATTTTCTGAAATGTTGATCATTTGTACCTTCTTTATACAAGCCATGAAAAAAGGAGTTCATGGTCAAATTTTTCACCATAGCCTCAGGAAAACCTTACCTAACTCACATTATGCCAAAATTTTGAATATACTGATACTTAACAAAGTTGACCCCGAATTCAACACATGCATCTCAGTTCACTGAGGACTATTGTGATCTCTCACATTCAGGATCTGTCTCACACGATTTTACATGGATTGGCTAAAGGTCAAAGGGCTTGTCAGTAGGGATCTGTTTTTTTCAGTAGAGCACAATACCTTCAGATTGGGGTGGCAGGAGTTCTTCACTGCAGAGGAGATAGGGTTGCTGTCTAGAGTCCAGCTGCCTGCGACTGTGTTGTCCATTTTCTTCATGGCAGTCTCCTGTTGTGTATTATCTAGGCTGTGGCTTCTCTTCAGATGGTTTACTATGAATGTCCTCCCTCACATCTGTTGGGAGAAATTGGGGAAAATTCTGTGAACTCTTCTGTTGCACAACAAGACAGCAACTCATTATAGGTCTATGTTTTAGGAATGGTATGCTCCTTTGGCTAATATAAGATTAAACAGCGTACATATCATATCATCATATCATCATCATATCAGATCATTCTTCACACAGCATCTAAGAAGTCTTGTCCTTATTATGAAGTTGCTGGATTATTTTGCACAATATTAAACCTCTGAACAAAACCCTGTTAATTCTTGGCTGTGCTATTAACTAGCATGATAGTTGTTCAACATGTAGATAAAGACAGTTTGACAGCTGTTGGACGGCACATTTTACTCTAAAAACTTAAGTCACCCATTAGCAGTTTCCCCTTGCTTTCAATCTTTGAGCTAAAATAGAGTGCATATATAATGTAATGCAAGGCCAAACAGAAGAGCAAAGAGAGAGCAAAACTTTGCATTATCTTCAACATCAGTGATATGGTTGCACATTATGATTCCACCATGTGAGCAATGCACAGTGTTTTTCTAGAGGTCCAGTAGATGTCAGGACATATATTCTCTGACTCTTGACTGTATTCACACCAAATTTAACATCCAGGTCAGTTATGCCCACATTAACAATACACAACTCACTCAAGAACCTAATGGGAAATGAAACAAGGGAAACATGCATAAAGCAGACTTCACATCACCAGTAAACACTGCTTCATACTCGAGCGAAAACTTATTACAACTGATCCTGTAGAATCCAAGTGATAAAGACTGACAGAAATATGAAAATAAGAGAAAACGGGCAACTGTTTTCAGAATAAGCAAGTGAAGGCATGATGGGAGTAAGGGTGGATTTGGTGAACTTTTGTGCCTTAAAACACTCAGAGAGAGAAACTCTCAATTGGAAGAAGCTCTTTGAAGATCAGAGCTTATAGAAAAACAAAACCAAGTCATCAAGTGTTCCTATGCCTGAACTATTCTGGAAGAGCAAGGAATACTGGTTTGAGTGCACATATGCTAAAAGGGCGCTGTCTCATTAACCAAAAGACAGCTGATATTTGTATTATGTGTGTTTAGATTATTGTTGAGAAAGACATAGAAACACAGAGTAGAGCAGTGCAAAGAGCAGAGCTGTGACACTGTTTAAGAGGCAGAGCTTATTCAGTGGCATGACAAGTCCCTATGGATCCCTCCTCCTTGCACCAAACCAAAGAATGGCTTTGAACTATGCAAGAAAAAAATGTAACTGGAGCTGTCGACATAAGGCTTTCGTGCTCATGTTACATTAATAGACATTGAGTAGAACAGTATTTTGGCACAGCAAGACTGTAAACTATACTGATCTCCTTGTTTATGTATTGCATGAGCTAGGCTGCCTTTATTTTAAATATGACCTACCAATTAAGGCTGCACATAGAGCAGAAGAAGGAGCTATTCATCTCAACTAATCATCTTGTAATGATAACAATCACTTTATTATTGTCAACAATCTTCTGAACTGCACCACACACAAACAAGCATTTCACATTCAACGGTCAAAATATTCCAGTTTAAATGCATATGTTTTGAAGCTTGTGTCTGACTAACAGAGGCTTTTAATGGGCTTCAGTTGCTGTGTCCAATTATGTCACAGTCGCTATGGAATTTATACAAGACTGTCCATTCCTGTCTATGCAGACAGGAGGGAGGAAGGGAGGGGTTTCCCCAAAGGTAAGTGAAGTACTTCACAAATCTAAGTTATTTTGTCACTCTTATCTGATAATAGCTCTCGTGTGTACCCAATGATCAGTATAGCAATCAACCTATATAAGATAATATCTGCCATGCTAAATAGCACTGATATGCAGCTTTAGTATCCTCTAAAACTTCCTGTCTCTTCAAGACAAGAGCTCTTGAGCAGGGCCTTCATTTCTTTTTTGCTGACAAACTGATGTAAGGTACTCTCTATACATATTTAATAAATAGCCTTTTATAATGATCCTCTGTCCTGTCCTCTGAAGGCAGTGGTTGGATTCCTGATCAGGATTCCTGACAGTAATCTACAAGTTCTTGGCTGCTGTAGAGAATGACCTTTAAGCTTAAAAATCACAGAGGTGCATAAAAACAAGTCAGAATTTTCTAGGAGAACAGTCACTCTGAAACCCACTGACACCAAAAAACAGGAGTACACTTGTGCTGAGTTCTAAGTAAGATTCTCTATCTAGGATTAAACGTGGCAACGATCACGTGATCTTGGTTGAATTGTTGGTGATAACACATGCTCACAATGATAAGATCAATTTTCTCTGGTTTCTGCAAAGCCCATTCTGTTTCCGCGGACAGCTCTGCGCACTGCACCGGTTAAGTGATGCAGAGTTGATGCTTCACTGACACTGGGATGTTTTTATATCCCTTAAATCTGCGAGTGTCTGAACTCAAATCGCAGTTACTTCACTAAATTGTAGTCTTCAAAATAACCAAACTCCACAATACCCGCATGATTTTAACGACAGTAAAGCTTTACCGAAAAGAACATCATGACACTTACCCAAACTCGGAGCTTCAAACCTTTCCCTTCACAGTGTCTCTGACTACTTATTTAAAATAAAATAAAAAAAATCTTGTTGTTTGAAAGGCTTCAGCTGCATATATGACTCTTGTTCTCATCAAGTCACCTCCTCATACTGAGCACGCTCCTCGGCAGCGGAGAGCAGAGTGTTTGACTGGCAACGACAGGGTGGATACGAGCACCGTGTTCACTGTGAGCCACACGTGACGCGCAAGAGAGAGAGCTGCGATTTGTACTGTCCAAACCATATCCCACCTTTTCACTCAGCTTTAATAAACTGTAAGCGGTGAACTGTTGTCGCAAACACCTGCAGTGTGTCGGTAAAACTACACTCATATTTCCGCACCGATCGATTGGACCTGAGACATGCTATGGCATGCATTTGAAGATCAGTCTGCTGAAACAACATGCATGGACGAACTGTTCCCCTGTACCTCCCTCGGTGTGTGGTGTTTACAGCTTTCAAGCATGGCTCAGATGATAAAATATACGCTGAGCAAAACCATGTCATGCACACACACCATGAGGACACAGGTCAACTGAGAAAATATGATCAGAAAATTTGAACGACCTCATGTTTGCGTCTTTACTACCAACTTTGTTACAGTGTCGTGTAGTGCACAGAGGGCTTTAAACTATTCAGTCACTATGGAATTGAATCGATAAGCTTATTCAAATGTCCTGCATCAAAGCAATTCATTTACTTCTAAATAAAGCAGATGATTATGCATCATATTTTCATTGAACATGTCTTGCTCATCTGTAGGAATAAACTGTGTTCCTCAAATATAGTGACAATCTGTGTCTTAAAAGCAGTAATGTTCATGGTCAACTAGGATGTATGGGATTGCCACAAGATTAAGTCCAACTTTTATTTGCTTTATAACAAGTCACAAAACTCTGCTTGGTGGAATACAATGGAATCTAAAATGTGTCTGCAGGCTCAAGTACACCTGCAGACAGCTTCATTAAAATTAGTCAAAAAAAATGGGCTCACAAATAGTAAAGATTCAATTACAATTACAAGTCACTGAACTTGTTTTGAGCAATGAAAGTCACAGAGAGAAGCTGACAAATGAAAGTGTGCATTACAGGACAAAATGTGATTTGAAGTTTGGATTGACGGTTCTATTAATGAGAGAAATTCATGTGTGCATTTTCTCAACTAACTTCAAAGCAATTTTGATAAGTATGACATATAAAAAGACAGAAAAATATATATTTTTTAAAAACCTACATAAACAAGAAGGAAACCAATGCACCTTCAATACTTGCGCCCCCATAATAAAAATGCATCATTAGATAAGGTCATAATTCCCCTGTTGAGCCTACTGACACACCAGGTGGTCAGATCTCATTTCTCAAGTTTCTCTGTTGCCATGGGGATAACTGGTCTATATACAGCAGGCCCACTTGTTTTGAACATGTCCACGCCTCTCTCTGTGGCTTCAGGGGCAGGTTAACATGACCTATTAATCACCCAAAGTGAGATGCAGAATTGGCTAAGGTGTTAAAATGCGCTGTATTAATAATCTGCTTCTGATACATTTTACTGTTTCCAGGGCCTACAGCTGCAGCCATGGAGGGATGACATTTCTATACTTTCTGCTTGATAACTGCTTTCTAAGTATGGTATGCACAAAATGAACAATCATGATATTAGTGTTTTTTGTCCATATTTTAACATAAATGAGAATCTGCTATTGTACTGGACAGTAATATTTGAGCTGGAGCCAAACTTGCAGGCCTACTTTCAAAACTGTTATCTTCTAGTACTGATTAAATTTTAATTGTTATATTGGGAATGATGTGCAATATCAATTAAATCTTACATGTAATTCTAGATAGCAAACATTGGTACATATAGTGCATTTTCAAGAAAATCAAGTGTTAATGGATAAAACAACCACACAGCAATTGTGTTTTTGGCAAATCGAGCTAATGAAATGCCTAGCAAACCCCATCTTTTCATTCAGCTCTAATAGGCTGAAAGCAGTGAACTGTTTTTGCAAACATCTTCAGTGTGTCTGTAAAACTACATCACAAAGCCTCCACTTACATTTCCGCAATGAATAACTGATCTATAGGACCTAAGACATGTTATGGCATGAATTTGAAGATCATTCTGCTGAAACACATGCAGGTACAAACTGTTCCCCTGGGCCTCCCTCAGTGTGTGGTGTGTACAGCTTTCAAGGATGGCTCTGATAATAAAAAAATGAAAAAAAAATAAAATAATGCAAACCATGTCCTACACACACACACAATGAGGATGCACGTAAATTGAGAAAATATGATCAGAATATTTGAACCACTTCATGTTTATGTCTTTACTACCAACTTCGTTACAGTCTAATGTACTGCACAGAGGGCTTGAAACTAT